GTTTTACTCTTGGATTAGAAGATAAGAAGTTCAGAAAAAAAGTATGTATTTCATTTAAACCCAAAAAAATTATATTGTAAATCTTATTAACTATTTTCATGACACTTAAAAATATTTGAAATAAAAAAAGCTCAATAAAAATAATAGCAAACTATTTCTATTTCTTGTTTAAATAAATTAAACTAATATAAAGAGTTATATCTTTTTTTGAGATTAGCAAAGATACCAGCGTCTCCTTATTTGATTCTGATTCTGGTTCTAATGAGTGGTTTGAAAAAGAATTTTTTCAACAGAAAGTCACTGCTAAAATGCCGAGAGATATTTTTGCTGGTAATGTAGCTTGTATGGCTACAATCAGTGATTTTTTTCCTAAAATCTACAATCAGTGAGTGTTTTGCACAAAGTTATAAGTGCTATTCTAACTCAATTGGTAGCAGATCTGACAGATTTCAAAAATAGCCAGTTTTTTATTTTTATTTTACTTCACCTCCTCAAGGCCAAGAAGGCCACTACAGACGAGGAGGCTACTTATTTGTGGCTATAAGCCTCTCTCAACTCTATAACTCCAAAACACGAACCTTGGCGAACAAGGCTGCTGCGCAGATAAACAAGTTGAGCAGCTAGAAAAATAAAATATGATAATCATAATATAAGCATGATAGAAAAAGATGTTCAAAAGGCAAAGAATGAATCCCATGCATAGTGTATTTTGATGGAAAAACATTAATTTAATTAAACAATGGAAAAACAATCAAAAATGATAGTCTTGCTGTTCTTGTAAACATTGAGGGTGAGATGCACCTTCTTAGAGTACCTCCTTTACTATCATCCTCTGTTAAAGACTTGTGTTACTTGTCATTCAACAGTTCAATGGTGTAATGTACTTTTTAAAAGAATTTTGAATCAAAAGTAGGAGGGAAATGTTTTGATGCTACTGCAACACTGAATTAAATAAAAGATTCTTTTACTCATTGCATGCAGGCAGCATATATGTGAATTGAGAATGGTTTATTTTAGTAATTCAGTCTCAGATGAACATTCCACAAAACCAGATATATGTTTAAAAAATTAAAAACAATTTTTGAAAAATAATTTCTTGAGAAGGCTACACAAGAATCTTTGCGCTTTTGTCAAGAATAAATTACAATAAGAAAAGAAAATAAAGATATTGTCAGAGAAGATAAGAAGGAGCTTGTTAACTCACAACAGAAAGGTAACCTACAACAGAACTTGTTGTGAGTTACCTTTCTCCATCTTCAGTAAAACAAAGAAAACCCGGAGCAGTTCATCATGTTAGGTTCCTGTCTAAAGGATTGTAATACCTAAAGCTTTAGCTTCTTTCCAACCAACTTGAGTTAGCAAATAAGAACAATACACTCAAAACAAAAATTAAGCTAATAAGTGAATTTACAGTTTGCTTTTATGCCAAATGGTATTTATGGCTACTGACACTATAAGACTGACACTATCCTTTTCTTGATAAAAAAGTAATACACCAGATGCTCCAGTACCAAAAAATTGTGCCAAACCAGATGCTGTTGATACATTTTTAAACTTTTTATACAAACATAGTTTTTATTTAGATTCAACAATGATTTCTCTGTCTCTATTATTCAAATTTCTCTGTCTCTATTAGATGATAATGTGTATTTATGGAGAAAGCAAATATTGCAATAGTTGTTCTAACTTATAAAATGCCAATTTCAACCTGGTATAAAACTGGAAACAAACCAAAAATAGATATTAATGACAAAATAAAAATGGGATTAGAATTTAGTGAACACCCTTCTATCCTTGCTCTATTGTTTGAAAAGTTTTTATATCTTATTTTTGCTAGAATTGGATTGAAGAAACAAAGGATAAAAGATTGGCTTTTACTTCCCCCTGCATATTGGTATACTCAATCTGGATAGAAAAGCTTTCAGAAATATACCATCTTTAATTGTGGTAAATGATCATTCAGAAAGAGTTGTTGATATGATGCAGCAATTTTTTCACTGATACAATAATGAGGAAGATAAACAGAATGCATTGCTAACTGTTGAGAAAATCTCTTGAAAAAAGAAGAAAAGAGCTGAAACTTAAACATGACTGAATTTATGAATTTTCAAAATATAAACCAATAATAGTTTTATCAAATAATGTAATTTTTTTCAATTAAAAATACAAATTTTTTTTTTTTTTTAACCATTATACCATGTATTTTTACTCAAATATATAGTATAAAACAAACATCTTAGAAAAAAAAATTATTGGAATTAGGAAAAATGAGGTCTTATACATAAGGTAAATATATTGTTTCATAAAATTTATTTAAAATAGCAAATAAAATTGATTTTTAAAATTCTGAGGTCAGCAAAAAATTGCCGATCTCAGACGCTGCTAGGTTTGCAGTTAGGTCAGCATTACCGACTCTAATTCTGAGGACTGTATCTTAGGGTGGTTCAGATTAAGGTGAAAATTTTTTTCAAACTAAGTGGAAGCTTTCAAGGTGCACATACCCTTATTTTATATGTAAGATTTTTTTTCTTTTTCAAATTTAAAAAAAGTTTAAGGATGACACACAGCCACAAAGTTTGTTTTTCTTTCAAGTTGCAGGAGGACAAGTGAGAAAAACAAAATTAATGCAATGTTAGACTTTTTTTAAATAATTGTTTAAAAATACTATTAGTTGTGTTTGATGCTAAATCTGTTTTCTTTTCCTTTTGCCTACTTCTTTTGTAAAAATAGTCAAACAAGAAAAAAACTTGTCTTTTCTTCACTTTGGTTGTTTTTCCAATCAGTTCTTTAACTAGTTTAATGGCCCTCTCTTATAAGTGATTTACCCCATCAAGGAATTAAATAATAATTTCAAACTCAAAATAAAAATAGTTAAACTTCCAGAACTGTGAAAGGATCTTAAGCCATTGCAACTAACTCCATGTCTAATCTTATCAAAGATAAGCCAAGATTGCTCAGTTACTAGATAACTAAGAGGTGGAAACTGATCTTGTGCAAAAGAGGTGGAAACTGATCTTGTGCAAAAAGAGAGAGTGAAGAAGCTCTTTATTGACAATAACACGTTCAAGTGGATATACTTTAGGTTTTGTGGGAAGTGTACTGTATAATGTTTAGGCAATATCTTCTCTGTTTAGGCAATGTTTATCTGCTAAAGCAAGCACAACTAAGGCAGAATCAGTATACCAGCTGTGCCTGCCAAATGGTTTTATTGCTGAAATTGCTACATGAAGATTTATATCCAGGAACCTCTTCATCTGCTCAGCATTTCCATGTTCTACAAAATATTTTTACAAAATTAGATTAATTCATCAATCAAACAATTAACTAATCTTTTTTAATCTGTTTTTTTTATTTCTTTTCTCACAGAATGCAATGACTCACAGAGTCATTGCATTCTGAGCTTAAATAATCTGTGAAATCATTTTCTGCGCTATAAGATATACGCAAGTCTTCTTTTTCTGAGCTATAAGATATATGAAAGTTGTCTTTTTTTGAGTATTCCCTTTTGGATTTTTTTTTTTTTTTTTGCAGATCTCTCAGCACCCTTTTTAAAGCTAATATTAGAACAGCCTAGACAACCATGTCTTTTTTCCTTAACATAATGTCAAATTTTCAAAAACATAATGTCATGCATTTATTTATTTTTTGTTCTTTTTCTATCCATTGTTATTTTGTCAATCATGATTTTTATGTCATTTCCCAACAAAATTACTCTTTTAGATTCTATTAAAAAAAAAGGTATCTTTATCCTTGATTGCTCATGGTGCCAATCTGTTTTTAAGGGATTGCAGCTTTTTATATTTCATTATTAGAGTTTCAACTTCTTTCATAAAATTAATATTAATTAGACTGTAAATTGCATTGTATGCTACAAGTTCTGTATCATCTAAGTTCCCAGCAAGCCTTCAGCTTAGATTTAATGCAGCAGTTCTCTTCCGCTTTTGGACAATTTGGTGTAAATGTAGAACCTCTGTTTGGACAACAAAGTTTTTAAGAGAAACTGATGGTTTGGACACTCGTTGGTAAAGATAATACTGGATTATTTCTTCAACAGTTAAAAACTGAATAGATGATAGTTTCTTCCTAGTTTTTTTTACTAAGAATATTTCTTTGCCACTATTTCTTATTTTACCAAAAATTTTTGGGATAACTTTTTATTTCATTTAAATCAGCTATAATAACATAAATTTAAATATGCTTTTTTTAATTTTAAAAACAAGTTTCATTAAGTATCATACAAGAACCATTTTACCCATGTTTAAGCTTTGTTAAATCATAAATAAATATTGATAATTGAGCATGGTTAATACATTAGTACAATCAAATCACACTGCTGTCATGGAAGCAGTTTTGTGTGAAGAAATAAAGAAACTTCTTTAAATTAAAAAAAAGAAGAGTCTTGAGTCTTTTTTAATGACTTTTTTTATTTATTAAAAAAGATATATATAAAAGGAATGTCTAATTTTTTTTTTTTAATTAGTCATTGTGAGAATAAATATAGAAAAAAAATTCAATTATATTTATAAAAATTTATAATAATGTTTATTATAATAATGTTTGCCATTCTTAAACTTTTTTAAATTTAAAAAAACAAAAAATTTTAAAAAATTGCATTCTAGGATCAAGTATTGTTTTAATAAAGTTGATATTGAGCTCATGCAGAGTTTAGCTTAGTCTATACCAGTCCTAATTGATCAAAAGAAATATTTTAAAATGGTTTTAATTTTTATCTATATAATTAAAAACAATTATATAGATAAAAGTTAAGATTATATAGATAAAAGCTAGAATCAAATAATTTTCTAAAAAATATTTCCTTTTTGTTTTACGTTATACATTAAAGTAGTTATGCGTCTTTAAATACCAACTTGTTTTTCATTTGTCAATTATTATATTCTGTTGCAAAAAACTAAAAACTGTTAACTTGTTTATTTTAATAAACCTTAAGTTTTTAAATTTGAAATTTTTTTTTTTTGTTTATACTTGACATCTTTTTTAAGTTTCAAGAAATGACTTCAAACACAAAATTACTTTTGGATTGTTTTAATAACGTTCAATGTTTAAATGATGATTTTGACTTTCCAAGTAAATGCTGTATCCTTTTTGGTAATTTCTTGGTATTTTGAATGGCAAAATAAGATATTTTTGTAAGTTATAATTTTTTTAATGTTATTAAAATAGTTTATTATAAAAAATATTTATTTACATGTTCAAACACTATGAGGGAGGATAGAATTTTTGTAACTTGGATTCAGGCTGGCATGGAATCTTTTATTCCTTCTCAATGATTCAAGTCAAGTCGCGCTCTTCTCCATGGTTTTCCTCTAATTGTGCTGCTGCAATTTCCAATTGTAACTATTACTTCCATATCTATCGCCAAAACAATTCTCCAGAAAATAGACATCTGTTTACTAATGCTAGAAACCATTGTAAAAAGGTTTTGTCTAACACTGAAGCCCGCTATTCTCAGGTCACGAAATCTCGTATTTCATCTAAAAAATTCTGAGATTTCTGGAGAGTCTTTAACAGTGTCTATAATAAAAGCAAATCTGTTATTCTACCTCTCTTGCATGGTCCAAACTTTATTACCTCATCTTAAGACAAAGCTGAATTATTTGCTAAGAAATTTTCATCAATCTCACCTCTTGATTCCACTAATCAAATCCTACCTGATGTAGCCGACAAACAGGTTTATCTATTGTTTGACATTTGTATCACTCCAGCTTCTGTATCTAAAGTGATTTCCTGCTAAGACTCTTCTGCAGCATATGGTCCGGACAACATATCTGTTATAGTCTTGCAGAAGTTCTCTCCAGAACTGTCGTCTATACTTTCAAAACTATTCAACAAATGCTTATCCAAATCTTGTTTTCCAGCTTGCTGGAAAGTAGCATTTATTATCCCTATTTTCAAAATTTCTGGAGAGCAATCTGACTCGTCTAACTACTGTCCTATTAGTATCCTTCTGAACATAACCAAGGTTTTTGAATGTTTAATAATCTTCTTACCAATCTTCTCTCTCTACCTCTATTCTACCTCTCTTGCATGGTTCAGATTTTATCACCTCACCTAAAGACAAAGCTGACAAAGCTAAGAAATTTTCATCAATCTCATCTTTTGGCTCCACTAATCACATCCTACCTGATATAGCCAACAAATAGGTTGATCCATTGTTTGACATTCATATCACTCCAGCTTCTGTCTCTGAAGTGATTTCCTGCTTAGACTCTTCTACAACTTGTGGTCCAGACAACATACCTGTTATAGTCTTGCAGAATTGTTCTCCAGAGCTATTGTCTATACTTTCAAAACTACTTAACAAGTGCTTATCAGTCTCGTTTTCCAGCCTGCTTGAAAGCATCATCTGTTATCCCTGTTTTCAAAAACAGAAAGCGATCTAAATTGTCTAACTATCATCCCGTTAGTCTTCTATCTATCATAAGCAAGGTTCTTGAGTTCTTAAATAATTTTTCATCTTACTTTCTGACCATCAATATGGATTTTAATCTTATTGTTCTACTGATTTATTAACGTTTTATTCTGCATTAGATAGATGTGGAGAGGTTAGGGCTATCGCTCTTGACATTTCTGAAGCCTTTGATTAAATTTGACATGCTTGTCTTCTCCAAAAGCTCTCCTCTTATGGTGTATCAGGTAGCATCTTTAGGATTATTGAATCAGTCTTTACCAATCGCATTATAAAATTTGTTTTCAATGAACAACACTCTTCATTTCCTGTGACTTCAGGGGTTTCTCAATGTTTTATCCTTGGTCCTATACTTTTTTTAATTTACATTATCTATGTAAATTAAAAAAAGTATAGGACCAAGATATGGCAATCATTTTAAACAAAATATTAAAAAAAAATATTTTGTTTAAAATAATAATTGATAGAAATAATAAAAATCAACTATCAACAACTGTAAACACAGATTACCAATATGTCCAAGTTTAAAAGCTTGAAGGTGTTGGGCTGTTTTAGTTGAAATGCCACATGTGATATTGTAAAAATAGAGAGAATAATGACAAAAGATGTTTATTTGAACATTTTATAAAAGTCATGTTATACCTTTGGAAAGTTGGGTTAATGAGAAGCTATTTGTTTAAAAAAAAAATAACCCAAAGTTTAAATCCAAGACAAGTTCTTCAGAGGATTGTATAAATTATTACACAGAGGATTGTATAAGTTAGAGAATGATCAAATATTGACTAGTATGATTTGGCCTGCATAATTACCAGATCTGATTTTTATGGGATGAATTATAAGTAATGTTAAAAACTAATGCCAAATGATGCAAAAGTAAGAAGAATGTAAGAAGTAAGTAGAATGCCATGATACATGCAGTGGTTATTGTTGCTAATGGCGATTAAATAGGCAAGTAAATTAATTTAATGGGTCTTTATATCAATTTTTATCTAAACTTAATAAATAGGAAGTTAACATGGTAGATTGTTTACAGTTTTCTCCCAATAGTTAGTAAAACTTTGATATCTTATATTAAAAAGTTTGAACATTCATATATTTATGAACCGTAGTGTATATATGTGTAGATAATAAATAAGGGGCCATCTATATATTACGTATGCACTGAGGGGGGAGGGAGGGGTCGTCCCAAGTTGGTAATTTGCATACAAGGGCATATGGGGGGAGGGGGGATGAAAGTCCAAAAAATGTATGTATGCAAACGCAAAAAATTGAGGTGGCAGTTCAATTGCTCATTAATAAAAGGTGAACGCCGCTCATATTTATGGGCAGTTAAGGTTATAAAGATTGAGCAGCACAAAAAAAAAAGTGATCATGTTTGTGTGCATGAATGGAATTGGGGAGAGGGGGTTGGACCACCAACCATATGAAACTTATATGGGGGGAGGGTAAAACCACCATGGGGGGGGGTAAGACCACCAAGCATAGGTATGCATAGGAGGGGGGGGGGAGGAAGGGAAATATAAAAATGTATGAGGTGCAACAAGTGGAGGGGGTGGCTAAATCAGGAGATTTTTGCTTACTTAATATATGAATGGCCTCTAATTAGTAATTAAAAAATGATTTAAATCATAAATTTTTATTCTGAGTCAATTTTTATTCTGAGAATTGTTTGGTTTTCTAACAAATTGTTCATAGTATTTATAAAAAAAAAATTATGTTAATGATAACGGCTCTGTTTATTTGGTTTTGATGATTTGATGACTAATCTGCTGATGAGCCTAATTTGTGTTTAGTTGAAAATTGAACAAAAATCCAGGGCTTGATGATATAACTTATTAGATCATTAAAAATGTTTATATTGTTACTAAAAAATCCTTTTTTTGGATGAGTGTATTCATTATAACATTTTAAAACATCATAGCTTTCTTCATATAGTGTATCTGGGAAAGAATGATTCAAAATTAACCTTATTATTTGCTGGTGACACAACTATATACTCATATCTTGATAAAAAGTCATCACTTGATAGCTTAAAACAAGCAGCCAATCATTGAATGTGATCTCTCTTTTGTGACAACTTGGGGCTCACAGCGGCTATTGTATTTTAACCAAAATAAAATTCAGCTGTTGCTTCTTTGTTTAAGTTCTGTTTTTTCTCATGTTCAAATCTTTTAATCTTAGTAAGTGAGAACTCTATACCTTTTTGGATTCTCTTTCATTAGTGACCAATAAAAGTTAGATATCCTATCCATCGCAAAGTTTCCTTATCCAGCTTGTCATTTTGCTTACTCCTGGCTTTTTTTTTTAAATCTTTTATTTGTCTTTGCATGTCCTCTACTGCTGTCATATTCTGATTTATTTAAAGATATCTTTCCTCTTTTTTAGACAAATTCTAAAAACACATTGTAAATTTAGTTGGATCTGCTCAACTGATAAGCTGGAGTTTTTATCCCATTATAAAGTTATTTCTTTTTATTTTTTGTCATGGTTGCTACACAAGCTAGACACTATTCCTTCTCGTACCACCAGCTAAAGCCCTATATTGCATGATTTGTTGTTCATCCAAGTTGAATTTTCTCCTGTCTTCATGTTTTCTTGACAAATGTGTATTTTTTTAAGTCTTTTGTTCACCTTAATAATGATTGTTTGCAGTCTTGTTTAATGATTATTCAGTCTTTGTTTAAACTGCAATCAAACTGCAACATTGAACTGCAACATCAAACTGCAACATCAAACTGCAAAATATTTACTGAGCCTTATACATTGCTATATATGGGTGTAGGTGTAGTTTGAGTACATCACATTAATGAGTGCTTTATCTAAGTACTAAAGGATGTCGCCACAGTATAAAGATTATTTTATTATAGTTTAAGAGTGCATTACTATAATTAGAAGATGCCATACTTTAAAGTTTCATAAAGGTTCTTTGACAATCAAAATTAAATGTAAGCCTAAATGTCTTCTGCAAATAGTACAGTCGTGGTTTATGAAAAATAAATTTTGTAATTATTTTATATTTTGTAATTATTTCAAAAAAGAAAGTTTTGATAATGATTAGATTATGTTACAATTGTTAGATTGGTGATAAAAGATTAGATAAGATGGTGGAAATTTATAAAAAATTTTCCTTCTCTACTAAGATCATAGATCATTTGATCAGCAAGAAACATAAAAAGTTTTTTTTTACAATTTTATTTTTTTAATACATTAGCTTTTTTTGAAGTTTCTTCTTTTTCTTTTTTTGAAAGTTTTATCAAATTAATTTATACATTTATTCTGTAAAATATACATTTATTCTGCAAAATCTTTTATGCTTGTTGTTTTCTTTTGGGTTTCACTAAGCAGGCTTGGAAGCCTTGAAATTAAAGTTGCTGCCTTAACTCTTTAATATTTTTCAAGGTTTTGTTTATGATTTATTATTTTTTCATATTTTGAAGTTAAATGTAAATTTTTTAATTGAAAATGAAATATAATATAAGGGAGCAATTAGAAACTTTTTTGCTATTTTTATGATTTTTATGCTGGTTTTATCCTGATTCCAAAAATGTCAAACTTTAATTATATTTGGGCTCAAACGCTTAGCATTTTGGGTAAAATCTCTTGTATTATTAAAAAAGAATTATTCAAAAGTATGTCAAAATTGGGTGTTAAAAGAAGAGCATTTTTATTTAGATTTTAAAATCTCTATGAAAATACATTTTCTTTGACATCCATGTTGACATAAAACTTTTTTTAACAATATTAGGAATTTTACCCCAAATGCTAAGGTTTTGAACCCAAATACCTTCAAAACTGTTGGTAATTTGGAAATCAGTGTGCCAATATTATTTCAATCAGCATACAAATCATAAAAGTTAACAACAACAAAAAAGTTTCAAATAGTTCCCTAGTGTTATTTAAGAATTTATTGTATCACTATTATTAAATATTATTATTATATTAATATAATACTTTTACTAATAATGGCTTATATGACTATTTGAGGGTTATTGGTAAAAAAAATATGAATACTCAAAAGTTTTTTTCTTACAAGTTTTTCTTTTCTATTATTTTAAAATGTAAAATTCTATTAAATAATCCTTTACATAATAATTTTGGAAAATCCAGCGTTAGGATCTGTTTTCAAAGAAATGTAAGCATTTTGTTTCTATATTTTTATTTTGTTTTGTTTTTCTTTTAGTTGGTGTTTGTTGTGTAAGTCTCATACAAACATTAGCAATTACACAGTGGCAATTAAAAATAAAAATTACTAATAACAAGCAATAACACAAACAACAAGAACTATATGGTTATAAACAAATTTATAAAATTACTAATAACAAACAATAACACAAACAGCTTTTGTAACAGTTAAAAGTCTGACAGTTTTTATTGTTATTTTTAAAAAATTTTTAAATTTGTCTATTTAATAAATAATTTCAAAAAAATACCAGTCAATATGTTAATATGTTAGATATCTAACTTTAAATGCCTAACATATTAATAATAATGTATTGAAGTACTTTTTTTTGTCTTTTTTCTTTTAGTGGCACATTTGTTGAAATGAATTCCTTTTTCTTTCAGTTTTTAATGTATAAAACAGCCCAAACATTTGCTGCCTAAATATTATGAAACCAAACCTATATTTTTAAAAATGTTGTAAAACTTATATATTTTAATTATATATAAAATAATGCGAGAACCATGAACAGGTACTCTAAACCTTTAAGAAAAATACTTTATTTCAATTATATTACTAGTTTATTCAATATTTTGCTAATACTCTTCAATTTAAAAAATTAATATTCCTTATGTATATCAGCTTAATGTTTATATTGTTTTTTGTATAAATTTAAAACTAACACCTCCCTTTTCCTTTTTATAATTTATACTCTAATGAAAAAAAAAAAAAAAAAAAATCTTTGAAATGAAAATTTTGTTCAACAATCTTTTGCATATAAATTTTGGTAGATCTTGTATTTATTATTGAGGAGCTTTTTATGGAACAAAAAAGTTTTGAAGTATTTTGATTTTTCTCGAAAATGGAATTTAAAACACATTAAAAGATAAACTTAAACAGAAATTTTTATTTATCGATAATGTACTCTTATATTTTTAATTTTTATTAAGTGAAGATCTTTAATTTAACTTCTTAGTATTTACATATATAAATTTTATATATCTTTAGCATTATTTATTTTTACTTTCAACAAAAATATACATTATTACTATAAAATAACAAATTTAGTTAAAAAACAAAGCAGTTCTTGAGGACAAGACCTCAAGGTCTTCTATGAGTTTCTTTTTTTTATGACATTAACTAATCTTGTAAACATTATATTATTGAATTTATTATAATTAATTTGAATTTATTATATTATTGAATTTATTATAATTATAAAATGGCTAATATTGTACATTAAAACTAAAAAAGTAATTAAACAAAACTAAATAATGCAAAATTGTAAAAGGAAATTAAATGATAATCAATTAATGAGAATTGATAATCTTTTTCAACTAAAATTTTATTATACATTTTATTTTGAGAACCAAAAACACATCACACATTATCTTTTATGCTTCAATATACTTTCATCATTATCATAGATTTGAATCTGAGTCGCTTTCACATTATTCTTTACACATTACCACAATCAACAATATTGAGAAAATCTCTCCATTTCCAAAGAAAATGGATGACATCCTGGTTAGACCTCATTCCTATGTTTCTATATAATTAATTTTTGTATAGTTTGCAATGCATATAAACAAACTTTGTGATTTTTTCTTTATGTTGTATTAAGAAACTTTACTCCATAAAGTTAAATGTACCAAAAGAGCAAAATGTACCAACAATGTTACTTTTGAAGATACAGGTATTTGAAACCATAAAGTGCTAAATATTTACTAATCATATAAATATTTCTAAACAAATGTTTTTTATAATCTGTTGTGTTATTGGTTGTTACCAATTACAGCAGCATTGTTGTTACAGATGATTGCCTGTATAAAATGATATTTTTTCTAGTAAATCAATGCTTGTTTTATCAATAAATATACTGGTATTGTAATAGATACTGAATTAGTTTGTATTTATTGCATCAGTTTTAAGTGATTGTTTGTCGAATGGATCTCTTGGATTTGCTTTTTTATGGCCTAAAGATCCATTTTTTGTATAAATTTTAAGCTTCAAGCTTAAAATTTTATATACTTGAAATCTTTTGGAGTCACAAAAAAGAGACTCAAACTTTTGTGCAGATTGTTAAAAAAAATTGAACTTTAGTGTCAGTAAGGTCACTAGTGTTAGAACCAAGTCATTTAGTGTGTCACCAATAATAACAATATTGGCTGATAAAGAGAAAAGGGTTATTTGTTTGGTTGTGTATTTATTATATATTTGATCAGAACATCAAAAAGAACCCAGTTTTAAGAAGTAAGAGAATAACCAACAAAAAGAAAGCTGTAACCAACAAAAAGAAAGCTGATTGAGGAGGTGTTGAGCTGAACTACATAAAAGAATGGTCAGAGGATTTAAACCTGATTTATTTACAAATAGATGAATTTATATGCAAGTATATACTTAAGTCAAGCATGTAGTTATTCAAAAGCTAATAGCCCTCAACACTGATAACTGATTATGAACCAGTCAAGTTCAAATTAATCTAACAAAGAGTAAGTATGGTGACTTTTGAAAGAGATAAGATTAAACAGTTACTTCAAAGACCACAAGTATTCATAAAAGCTTTTGTGGTGGTGATGGTTTTTTATGTTATGTATTTTTAGATACTTAGAGAACTTGACTTGATCATAGAAATTGTAAGATATCCTAAACAATAAATGATTGCTTCATTTCTGCTGATCATCCCAACAAAGAGCTCCTTATGTGGCTTTACACAAATAGGAAAATATTCCATGCGCAACATGTCACTGTTAATACTTTGACAACTTACAGCTGAAATGTTAAATTATGGAACCTTTTACAGTAAAATCAGCATTTTTTAGAATGAGCACAGAGTTCAGAAACCTTACTACCAGCTGGCCTAAGAACCATTAAACTAAGTTAAAAAGCTGTACCCTCATTACAAAATAACCAAAAGAGTTGCATAATCACTACCATGGAGGTACAAGTCAAACCATGAGTAGAGTTAACAAGATCCAGTGTTTATTACCCTAGACAGAAAACAGTATAGCGCAGATTATTGCTTACCTCTTAAACTTGCTTTTATAAAACTGTAGTTCTATGCAGTTGACATCTGCCCATGATTAGTATTTTTATTGAGACACTCTCTAGCTTTTACTCAACGTAGATTTCCATTGTAGATTTCTTCTAGCTTTTCTCTAGAAATATGAATACAACAAGGCAGCAAAACATGAAGCAGGTTGTAATGGATTACATGTTACCTGTAGTAGTCTAATCATGATGGTCCTCATAGTGATCTGACCTGAATTAAGCTTTAATCTCTGTGATTAACTTTTTAGTAGCAACAAATACTTTTACATAATTTTTAGTAACTTGCACAATTGATAAAGAAACTGTATAATTGATAGAGAGTAAATTTGGATGCAAAGCAAAAGCTTTGTAATTGACAATGCAGTACATATACAAGTATTACAGTGAAAACAGTCATCTGTAGGAGGTTAAGTCCCTTGTGAGTGCGTGTCTTTGCTTTTTGTTATTTTAGTTAGTGATAATAAGTTAAAAATGTGAGTATACATGTTACCAAAGTAGCCATAAAACTTGTGCAATTAGTAAAAGCAACTTGTGCAATTAATGAAAGTAACTTGCGTAGCTAGTGAAAGCTACTTGTGTAGTTAGTGAAAGCAACTTGTTTAGTTAGTGAAAGCAACTTGTGTAGTTTGTGAAAGCCACTTGTAGTTATTGAAAACTATTTATTGTGAAAGCTCAAATACAAAAATGCTATTTAAACTTTTTCGATTCCAATAATAATAAAGATAAGGCATATGACCTGTAAATAAACATAAATGCAAGTAGTTTGTTGAAAATATTATTTACTGCTAGTATCACTTTAGAAACTGAAAAATGATCAAACAAAGTATTAATATTGAATTTACTCTTAGTTTAAAAAAAATATAAAACCTTTCACCTTACCAAGGTTGATACTTTTCATTTGTCTAATCATTTTTTTTAGTAACAACAGAACTTTACTTTTCGTTGTTTCAATCCTTCTTAAAACTTAAAACTTAAAAAAAACTAATATGTATAAGTCTGATGTTTGAGAAACTAGTTAATAAATTGAAAAGCTAGCATGTCTGAGAAACTCTGATGTTTGAGAAACTAGTAAATAAATTATTTAATAGATTTTTTAAAACTATTTACATTTTAGTTTTTTTAATTTGATTTATATTTTTTGTTTTTGAGGGGTGTTTTTTTTTTAAACAACAACATCCCAGTTGGTGCCAAAAACACATTATGCCACAATTGCATCTTTAGTAGGTTTTTTATTGTGAGTTACACAGAGTAGAGAAGGAAAAAAATTAAAACCTTTTTTAGAAAAATATTTTTTTATTCAATTTTTTCTCATGGGATTTCTAATCCCATCTAACTTAATTTTATTTTTTATTTCCTTTTTATATTTTGTACATTAAATTATGTATATTACCATATTGGTGGTGTTGACATAAAAGAATAAAAATTATAAAAATATTTTTAGTTAGAAAGTAAGAATTATTATAGAGAACTTCGTTTTTATATTTTTATTTTCTATTTAGTTTTAATAACAAAATTGTTAAATCATATAAAGAAGGCATTGATAATTACGTTATTCGTGTAATATTTTTATATGGAAGAAATTGCCCGATAATGTTATCACGAGCAGAGATGATGGTATTTCTTAAATTTTTTTAATAAACTTTTTTGTATTAGTAGTTGATTAATTTAAAATTAAAATATTTAATAAATATATATATATATATATATATATATATATATATATATATATATATATATATATATATAAATATACATAAACTTTCAGAATTAGCGTCGGCATTCCGCAATGCCGACCTAACTGCCGATCTGTAAGTGTTTGAGGTCAGCAAAAAAGTGCAGACCTTGATTCTATGTTTTATGCTCAGAACTTTGTATCAAATAATTTTTGCCGACTTGATGCCGACCTCAAAAAGATCGAGGTTGGCAAAATATTGTCAACCTCATTTTTCCTAATTCTGAGGGTTTGGTGCAACCAAATAATGCTAATTTAGTTTCTTTATATAAAAGTGCTGCATTTTTTCAATTTAGAGAAATAACTATGTAACTGTTTAGAGACAACGTTCTTCAAGTTTTATTCATCACAATGTTCATTATTTGTACACGAAAATTAATAAATTAATCAAAAGTATTAAAAAAACTTGATTTCCTTCTGGACAAAACGAGTGCAACTTCACAAAATGTTGACCAAGCTGTATTTTGCTATCAATGTTTTGTGGCGAATCCTTTGTTGTCGATCACAGCCTTGCATCTTTGAGGCATAGATTTGATCAGGTGATCAATGAAACTTTGTGGAATTGCTGCCCAGGCCTTTTGGTATTGTTCAAACAGTTGATCCTTATTACAAACACCTTCACGATTAATTCTGCGGTTGACGATCTCCCACAGGTTCTCAATAGATTTGAGATCCGGAGATTGAGGCGGCCAATTCATCACTGATAGATGGTTGTCTTGAAACCACTGCTAGACTACTTTTGTAGTGTGTTTCGAATCGTTGTCTTGCTGAAAAACCTATTTTATTGGCATATTCCATTCAGCATGAGGTACGATCATAGAATCCTCTCTAGAAGTGGTAAAATGCGGTCTTCCACCTTTATTATCTGCTACCAACTTCCCCGTAGAACGATATTTGAAATATAGTCTTGATACGGTCCATTTTTTCACGCGATATTTATCACAAATACTTTTTTGTGACATTCCACTTACGTAATCGCCAATAATTTTCTTTCTTAGTTCTAATCCAAGACTTTCGGGAGCCATATTTGCACTTGAAGTCATAAAAATAATAAAAATAGATAATCACGTTTCTCAAGGCTTACCGTGTTACATTTACCTTTGCATTGATGTAATGTAACACTTATTGTTTTTCACTTCTTGTATTGATGTTCTTCTATAAAAA